CAGGATTGGGATTTTTGGGTTGGTCTTAGGCTATTGTTTTCCCTTTCTCCCTTAATGTCTGGAGATTCCCAGTCATCCAGGTCATGGTTGTCCCAAAGGTGCTTTTTCAAGAGGCAACTGGACTTTCTGGATTTTTAATTTTTCTTTGAAGACTTTTCGCTTCTCATCCAAGAAGCTTCTTCGGGTCTGACTGGATGATGGGGAACAGAAGGATTTATATTCCCCACCATCCAGTCAGAGCGGAAGAAGCTTCTTGGATGAGAAGCGAAAAGTCTTTAAAGAAAAATTAAAAATCCAGAAAGTCCAGTTGCCTCTTGAAAAAGCACCTTTGGGACAACCATGACCTGGATGACTGGGAATCCACAGACATTTAGCGAAGACAGGAAAACCATCAGCCTAGGACAAACCAAGAATCCCTATCCTGGACTCAATGGACAGACCTTGATACCAGTCCTGGCACTTTTTAAACAAATGTGCAGAATAGCCCCATTTACTCCTGTAGTAAAGCTTACTCAGGGCTGCTTTACACCCCGTGGACCATTTCCACGTGCATTGCACCCGCGACCATCTACCACAACTGGGAACGATGGGACTTGGAATCCAATGCAACTGGAGGCCCCAGCCTCAGACACCAGGCCCCGGAGCTCACTTATCGGCAGGGACCTCTATCTATAAGACGCCGGGTTTTACGCATGGCTTGGGAAACGAAACTCGGACCGCCTCCAACGTCTATCAAATGGGGTTCGGAACTATGGTTTCCCTTCCCCCAGCTCGGGCCTCCCTAACCTCTTTATCCGTCGCTTTCTCGACCACTCCCAGAAGCGCGTAGAGGTCCAACTCCAGCAGTTCTTTATCGACCGCCATTTCCCCTCAAAGCTCGCTTCTTTCAGACAGTTCCCCACCGGGATGATTCTCGCTCGAGCTTTTTTTTTTTTTTTCCTTCCCTTCCTCCACTCCTTCGTCCGTCCCCCCACTCGCCCCTCCCACCCGACCCCGACAGCGATTTGGCTTCTGGGAAACGTGGGCTTTTCCCTTTAGGAACGCCTCTTCTCCGGGCGGAAGATGGAAGTCGAGTGAACTACAATTCCCAGCATGCCTTGGTCGGCCCTTGTCATCGTGATGCCATTAGAACTTTCCGGAGCCGCGATTGGACAACTTGCCGAAACCCCCGGCAAGCGTTGCGTCAGGTATAGTGGGCGTGGAAGAGTCTCTAGGAAATGTAATCACAGAACAGTACTGTATTGTATTGCATGTCACCCACTTAGACCCCCCAGGGTCGTAGAAGGGCTGTAAGTATACACTTGGTCGTCGCTTGCGGTAAAAGGAGCAGTAGCCAGACTTTGAAAAAGGCAGAAAAGGCCTGCTGGATTAGACTAGACTAGAGTATCAGGTCATTCCTTTCATAAAGTTTCCTTAATCTTTTTTTTTGGGGGGGGGGGTAAACATCTTGGGGTAATCCTTCCCCAATCCAAGGCTCTCCTGATGTGTTGTACTACAATTCCGATAATTCCTAATGTGATTGTAGTTTTCCATACCTAACTGGACGGGGTGGGGATTTGATCTGCATCTTTAAGGGGTGACAGGCTTGAAAAGTTGTTTATAGGGGAGTGTGCTGATTTATTTCCCTAATTGACTGTGGCAGTCAATCAAGAAAGGAAGGGAGAGAAAAAAATATCCAAAAGTAAACTTGTATCTTTTCAAAAGAGTTAATGTAATAATAATAATAATAATAATAATAATAATAATAATAATAATAATAATAATAAATTATCATTTATGATCATAAATGATTCCCCACTTAATAAAGTTTTGTGCTGTTTTATTCTGTTGTGAATAGAACCTGCTTTTTGGAAAAGACTGTTGTATGTTGATCTGCTATGGGCATGCTTTTGAATATTGTAAAGATAAAATGAATTACAGGAATTGTTCTAGTTAATAATTAGGAAATTTAGGATTAACACATTTGAAAGACACTGGGTTGAGAAAGCCTAATCTTTGCATTTTTGTTTCTTTCTCCATGATTTTGTTATTAGGTAACCAAATGTATGGTATATTTTTTTAATATAAAAAAAAATCAAGTTCTACTGTCACCTCTTCAGTAGATCATGTTTTTATCGAATCATTATCAGCATTTTATACTTCACTCTTATTCTTTGTTCTATCTCTGAATAGCGAACCATGGGATAGCTGCTTGCAGACAAAATAGAATCACGTCTCCACTGGTATTTTTTGTGAAAACTCTAAGAACCAACTCAGCTGGCATTATGGAGAAGAGGTGTTATGGCTGTGCATCAAAGTTTACTGTCTTCAAGAAACAGGCAAGTTTTTCTTCACTACTCAGTGTCAACACTTCCAGAAATGTAACTTGATAAATCTGTCGAGAGAAATGCGATCTCATACAGTAAAATATGAAATTCTCTTCCAGTAGAATTCATACAGATTTCATGTTTCAGATTCATGCTTCCTTTGGTTCCTGTAATCAGTTTTAGATATTTTAAATATTTCTAGTTACTTTAATATTTTATATGTATTTGTTTTTATGGATGTTTGGTCCTATATACTGCCCAGAGTCTGTTGGAGTTGGGCAGCTATAACAAATTTGAATTAATAAATAAATGAGCAAAGTCTCTACCTTTCAGTTTCAGTTGTTTGATTGTTTTGTTTTTCTATAATAAAATAACCAATAAGGGATCTTTCCTTAAAAGGTCCCAGAGGATGGTTCTGGTTTCACTTTGAAGAGTGATCTGTCTGTTTTGATGCACAGTGAGTGGAGAATTCACATAAAATGAATTAAATAGGTTATGTGAAGTACAATGATGAACACATATATTAATGCTAAAATATGCTGATGCATGATGCTGATGCATGATTCCATGTCATCTTTTTCGTTACATGGATGAAAATAACTTAGATTTTGAGAAGAGTTTGAAAGCATATTACTGCTTTTAAGAAGTTATCCAGTAAATATCAATGTTTTATCTGCCAGTGCATCACTAATGATGTTTTATCCTTCTTAAAACTAGGTGGGAGGAACTCATAAATGGTGGGGGGAAATAATTTAAATAATAGCATATGACACCAACTTCTCCCTAAGGAAAATATGAAAAGACTTCTTCCCAAAAATCTCTATGTCTTGGGGAATTTTGATTAGCTAATGATCACTATAGTATATGCTGTGTCACCTCAATTCTTTCGTTTTCCCTACTCTTTGTTTATTGTTTGCATTGTTGTTTTGATCGATAACTGTTTCAATATTTCTTGCCATTACTTGTTTTAAAAAAATAATAGAATGTGAACAGAATAAAATAAACAATATAGCATACAGGTGTTATATTCCGTGCTCCTGTACGTCAAACATGTGCTTTAAAGGAGCCTGGAGGGGGAAAAAAACCTTGTTTTCATATTGGCTTTCTACAACAAGAGAACTCGGTTTCAAGCTGACTTGCTTGCTTATTTGTTTGTTTATTATAGCTGTCCATCTCACTTTTACATGGTCTAGGCAGTTTACAATAAATCAAAATAAAATGTAAAATACACAATATAAAAAATCAAAGTAAAACATATAGCAGTCAGGCATAATATAATCAATCACCCACACAACCAGGAAATGAGCTCTAACCATGCCCAGGATCTCTAACCCAGGCACAAAGACCCACATTTTCTTCCCCAGGAGGCCTTAACCAGCCAGGAGTGACGTAAATGTAATACAAGGTCCTATCCATCCTGAGGACCCTGGTCACTTTCTCAGGCCGAACAGGATCAAACTCTCCCCAGATAACTAAGCTAGACCCAGCTCCAGTAACCACCACAGTATGGAAGTACCTCCTTATGAATCTATATATCTATATCTATATATATCTTCTATCTATTCCGTCTAACCTATCAGATAGATGGGATAGATAGATAGTATGTCTATCTATCTATCTATCTATCTATCTATCTATCTATCTATCTATC